GGAAGGCGGCGGAAGGGCGGCGGAAGGTCGGCGGAAGTAAAACGAGGCCGCCTCCGCTGGCGGAAGCCAGCGGAAGGGCGGCGGAAGGTGGCGGAAGTAAAACATGCATCCCCAAGTGATGACAGCATTTTTGGGTTCACGGATTCCAGAATCAGTCACGTGTGGTTGCCTGGGCTTGGCGCCGCCGCCCAGGTCGCACGTGTGGTCGCCTGGCTGGCAGGTCTCCGGAGATGTTCCTCGGAGTTCTTCTCTTGGCGGCGTCCACAATGGGGGTTGGCGCGAAGGGGGTGCTTGTCTCAGAGGGCCAGAGGGATACTCTAAGAAGGCAGGCCTCGTGGAAGCCCTCCCAGCTTCTTGGAGGCCTTCTTCGAAGGCGCCGGGCACTTCTGAGATAGCCCCCGCCCTCTGAGAAGCCCCCCGCCTTCTCAGAGACCCGCCCCCCTCGCGCCACCCCCTTGTCGGCGCCGCAAGTATTCGGGTGCTCACGGGCTTTTTGCTGGGAGTGTTTTGTGGCCTCTCGGGGTCCAGGTTTCGAGTGCTAGGACTGGCATCTTTTGCGTGGGGCGCAGTGCGGTTGGCCCAACTTCTCGCACGCTGTGCTTTGCTCTCCGCCGTTGGCTTCCGTCTGATGGGATGTTTGCCACGGCAGCGTGGTCGTTCATTCGTCTTTGCCGCCCGAGGCCCTGAGCACTCACTGGGACCCCCGAGATCTCTAAGAGGCCCCCCCCCTAGAAAAAAGAGAGAGTTATTCTTGGGCTTACGCCACACCGCCGACCCCTTGGGGGGGCTCGCAGCGCGTCGCCTTCGCTCATGTTGTCGGTGTCGGTGCCTTTGGGAGCTCGTTTTGAAGCATATTTTGTGCCTCAGAGGTGTCTTTTTCGGCTTCGTGTGCGCCTCTTGGTGGCCTCGTGGTGCCTCTTAGAGGCCTCTTGGTGCTTCCTGTGGCGTTGTGGGGCTCTGTTGGGCCGTCTTGGCTGCCTCTTGGGCTGTCTTAGGCCTTTGTTCGGACTGTCTTGGGTCTCTTTTGGGCCGTTTTGGGCGGCTCTTGGCCTGTGTTCGGGCTCTCTTGCGGCCTTGTTGGGACTCTCTTTGGCCGTCTTGGTGCGGTCTTGGGCGCCTGTTTGGGCTGCTCGTGCCGTCGGAAATTCGAAGAGGCAAGAAGGCCCAACACTTTACAAAGCTTAGGCAAATCAATTTGTTTGGCTTCTTGAAGCCCGGTTGGGAGGCCTCTTGGGAGTCTCTTTGGTCGTCTTTGGCGTTTCTTGCTTTGTCTGGAGACCATCTGGATGCGGCTTGGGGCCATCTGGGGCCAGCTGGAAGCAATCTTGGGCTGTCTTGGAGCTTCTGGGTGTCATGTCGACGCTGTCGGGCGCCATCCAGCAGAATTTCTGGAGCAATTTACTCCCTCCGGGGTCTGTGGGGCACCCTCTGCGAGGCTTCTGGGGCCGTCTGGGAGCGGGTTTGGGAGCCTCTTGGGCCGTCGGGGAGCATCGGAAAGATCCAAAGCTGAATTTCTAAAAATTGTACATTTCACGAAGGGAATGGCCCAATTTTTGCGTCTAGGGTCCCTTGTGGAACGCATCTCGGAGGCCCTCGGGGGGGCTCGTGGGGACCTCTTCTGCCGTCGAGGACGCCTCGTGGCCCGTCTTCGGGCCAACGTGGACGTCTTGGAGCGCCATTTCGAGGCCACCAGACGCGTCCCTACACGATTTTCACGCGTTTTTTCCACGATTTTCGGGAGCGGATGAGACCTCCAGGGGGTTCCAGGCCGCCCGGGGCCGTCCGGGGCCGTCCGGCCGGACACCCCCCCCCCTCCAAATGGACCGGACCGGGCTCCCAGGGGAGGGGTTTGGGGAGGGGGAACATCTCACACGCCGATGAACCCCAAGGGGCCGTCTTGGACGTCAGTTGGTCCGTCTTGGGGCCCTCGAGGGCTGTGTAGGAACCCTCTTGGAGGCGTCTTGGGCCGTCTGGGAGCGGGTTTGGGGGGCTCTGGGGCCGTGCAGGAGCGGGGGACACCCCCAAAGGCGCACGTGTGAAAAATATACGTTTTACGAAGGAAACGAGCGATTTTTTGCGTCTAGAGGGCCTCTTGGGGGGAATCTTGGATGCCTGTGGGGGCGTCTGGGGAGGCCTCGTGAGCCGTCGGGAGGTCGTCGTCGATGTTTCTGATCGCTCTTGGACCGTCTGGGACCATGTGGAGCTTCGTGGAGGCAACTCGGAGCGCTCCTGGAACGCTCTTGGGGCCGTTTTCGGAGCCCTCTTGGGCCGTCTTGGACGCCTGTTGGCCCATCTTGGGCCCTCTAGGGGTCTGTGGGGGACCCTCTGCGAGGCTTCTGGGGCCGTCTGGGAGCGGGTTTGGGAGCCTCTTGGGCCGTCGGGGAGCATCGGAAAGATCCAAATCTGAATTTCTAAAAAATGTACATTTCACGAAGGGAATGGCCCAATTTTTGCGTCTAGGGTCCCTTGTGGAACGCATCTCGGAGGCCCTCGGGGGGGCTCGTGGGGACCTCTTCTGCCGTCGAGGACGCCTCGTGGCCCGTCTTCGGGCCAACGTGGACGTCTTGGAGCGCTGGTGGGGCGTCCCAAACACATTTCGAGGCCACCAGACGCGTCCCTACACGATTTTCACGCGTTTTTTCCACGATTTTAGGAGCGGATGAGACCTCCGGGGGGTTCCGGGCCGCCCGGGGCCGTCCGGGGCCGTCCGGCCGGACCCCCCCCCCCTCCAAATGGACCGGACCGGGCTCCCGGGGGAGGGGTTTGGGGAGGAGGAACATCTCACACGCCGATGAACCCCAAGGGTCTTCGGGCCAACTTGGACGTCTTGGAGCGCTCGTGGGGCGTCCCAAACCCAATTCGAGGCCACCAGACGCGTCCCTACACGATTTTCACGTGTTTTTTCTACGATTTTCGGGAGCGGATGAGGGCTCCGGGGGGTTCCGGGCCGCCCGGGGCCGTCTGGGGCCGTCCGGCCGGACCCCCCCCCCGCCCCCTCCAAATGGACCGGACCGGGCTCCCGGGGGAGGGGTTTGGGGAGGGGGAACATCTCACACGCCGATGAACCCCAAGGGGTCGGCGGATTTGTGGCCTCTCGGGGGCTCAATCAGGAGCGTCTCGGAGTCGTCGTCGCCGTGGCCACCGCCCGCCGTCGTCGCTGCGCCACCGCCGCGTCTGCCGACCCGCCGTGGCGGTGGTGGTCGGCGCTGCTCGCGCCGAAGGCGCGAGCAACCTGTTGGACACCGGCGAGCAGCTTGTGGACGACGAGGGCATGCCGTGGCCCAGCACCATGTTTAGCCAGGCCCGCGGGCCTCGTCCTCGGTCTCCTCCGACGTTTTTGTTGCTGCGGCAGCGGGAGGCTTGCCGCTCTTTTTTGCTCCGACAGGCCAGGCGCAGCCGCCGCGGCGGCCTCCTTCTCCCCCTCCTCCTCTCCTCCCCTCTCCCCCCCTCCGCATCGGCGCGATCTTTCTTGCACGCTGTGCTCATCATCATCCTTGTTTGAAAGGAGGCCTGCTGAGGAGCCCTCGTCGCCGTGGCCGGGTCTGGCTGCCCTTCCTGGTCAGAGCGCGCTCCAAGATCAGGTGCAGGGGCCGCTTCTTCGAATGAGGAGAAGCAGCAGCGGCCGTATTGCTTCCCCGCCTCGGGCCTCTTCGGGGCGGGTCTTTCAAGGGCCCCGGATCATCAGAGAGAGGCCCAGGGCGGGAACCTAGCACGGGGGGCGGTGTTCGAGCCCAGGGGCCATTAAAGCCGCGGCCCGCAGCGCAAGTCGTGAGGACATCAAGCGACGTGCGGAGTTATGCGGGTCCTCGCGACGCGGCGGCGACTCTGGCGCGGGCGCACTTCATGTTGAGGGTTGCCGGCAGCCCGAACAAGGCCAACGTTGAACGAATTTTGGTGTCGTGAAGCGGAGGTCGCTCAAGGTCGAACGTGAGATCTGCGCGGAGTCATACGTCAGCGTGTTCGTCGATACGGCAGGGACCAGCCGCAGACGGTCCTCTGGCTCACTCTCACACGCACGCCGCGGCGCCCCGACGACACGTGCGCCGGGCGGCTGGCCGCCAGCGGCGAGGATCAGTGTGGGGAGGGCCGCGGCTCGGCAGCCACTTTTGGCCGAGGGCTCCCGCAGCTTGCTATCCTCCCCCTCCTCCTCCTTCTCCTCCTCCTGCTCCTCCTCCTCCTCCTCCTCCTCCTTCTCCCCCTCCTCCTCCTCCTCAAATCACTCCTCCTCCTCGCTCCTCCTCCTCCTCCTCCTCCTCCTCCTCCTCCTCGCTCCCCCTCCCCATCCTCCTCCTCCTCCTCCTGCTGCTGCTGCTCACTCCCCTCCTCCTCTCCTCCTGCTCCTCCTCCTCGTCCTCCTTCTCCTCCTCCTCCTCTAACTCCTCCTCCTCTCTCCTCCTCCTCCTCCTCCTCTCCCCCTCCTCCTCCGCCTCCTCCTCCTCCTGCTCCTGCTCCTCCTCCTCCTCCTCCTCCTGCTCCTGTCTCCTCCTCCTCCTCCTCCTCCTCCCTCCTCCTCCTCCTCCTCCTCCTCCTCCTCCTCCCTCCTCCTCCCCCCTCCTCCCCTCCCCTCCCCCTCCCCCCTCCTCCTCCTCCCCCCCCTCCTCCTCCTCCTTCTCCTCTCCTCCTCCTCCTCTCTCTCTCTCCTCCTCCTTGTCCCTCCGCCTCCTCCTCCTCCTCCTCCTCCTCCTGCTCCTGCTCCTCCTCCTCCTGCTCCTCCTCCTCCTCCTCCTCCTCCATGCTCCTCCTCCTCCTCCTTCTCCCCCTCTCCCCCTCCCCCTCCTCCTCCTCCTCCTCCCCTGCCCCCTCCTCCTCCTGTCTCCTCCTCCTCTCCTCCTCCTCCTCCTCATCCTCCTCCTCCTCCGCTCGCCTGCCTCCTCCTCCTCCTCCTTCTTCCTCCCCTCCTCCTCTCTCCTCCTCCTCCTCCTCCTCCTCGTCCTCCTCCTCCTCCTCCTCCTCCTCCTCCTCCTCCTCCGCCATGCCCTCCTCGTCCTCCTCCTCCTCCTCCTCCTCCTCCTCCTCCTCCTCCGCCATGCCTGGAGGCGGCCGCCGGGGCCTCGGAGGCGCCGCGGCGCTGCTGCGGGGCGGGGCGCTCTGCCTCCTCGCCTCGGCGGCGTGCGGCCGGCTCTGGGCCTCCGCGCCGCGGGGGCCCCCCTTGGGGGGGGCGCTGGCCGCGGCCTCGGCGGCGCTGCTCGTCGCGGCCTGGGCCGTCTTGGCGCCGCGGCGCTCTGCCGAGGATGCGGGCAATGTCTCTCCCCACATCCAGTGCGTCGTGGAGCTTCGGGCTCTCTCCTCCCCGAAAGACATGAGGCGCACTGGATATGGATTCAAACCTGGCCCCCAAAGGCTACATGTTATCCATATCCAGTGCGCCTCGACCTTGCGGCGCTCCTTTCAAGAAAGTCCAAGACGTACTGGATATGGATATAATTATTGCCCGCAGAGGAGGCCGCCGTGACGGAGCGGGAAAGCGGAAAACTCGAGGGCGCCGGAACTCGGGTTTGCCGGCGCGTTTCGACGAGCGCGTCCTGGGTTTGGGCGGTCCGGTTTTCGTGGGGGTCTCGTCATCTTCATGATGGTCCCCTCAGGCCACCCCGAGTCCCCCCAGCCCGAGCCTTACAGTGGGGGCCCATGCCAAGAAACACCCTGCTCGCCTCCAGGGTGTCCTGGATTTCTTGGTTTTCGATGGTTCTGCGATGGAAAGCGTGCCGTTCCCGCACCAGCAATCAATGGACGTCCTGGGGTCTCAGGGTTGGGTTTCTCGTGGAAGGTTTCTTGTGTCAGGAGGGGAAAAAACACACAGACACAATTAATCGTCGATCCCCCAGAAAATATAGGAAAATATGGGAATTGGGCGGGAAGACAAAAACCCGGAAAATATGGGAAAATATATGAAAATATGGGGAATTATTCTATTTGTGTGTATTTATTTGTGTGTCCTGCGGCCCCTTCATTGTGGTCCTGAGGGAAGCGGGATTTGATTTCCTCGAGATCTGGGCGTTGCAGCTGTTCCCAGGCGGGTCGTTGCTGCCCGGCCTGGGGCCCCCGGACCACCACATATCTATTCAGCTCGAGCAGCGCCGCAGAAAACTTGGGTCTATGGCTCGGGTCGTGTTTTTTCGCGTTGGCTAACGTATCGCAACGTCGGATCCCAGGGTCATTGTTCGCCGTTTTCGAGGCCTCGAGGCTCGAGGCCCTCCCCCAGCGGGCCCCGCAGACCGCCAACAAAAGCGGTTCAGGACGAAGGACTTGGCCCGAGCTGAAGGCCCCAGGGTCGAGGACCCGTTCCCAGATATCCGCCGATACGATGTGTTCAATCCGCGGTCCCAGTTTCGAGCCCTGCCCCCGGAGCAGGCTTCCGCCCCGGATCCATGTTGGGATCCCGCCCCAGGCCCCGGCGGTCGCCTCCAGGCATGGCGGAGGAGGGGGAGGAGGAGGAGGAGGAGGAGGAGGAGGAGGAGGAGGAGGCGGAGAAGGAGTAAGGAGGAGGAGGAGGAGGAGGAGGAGGAAGAGGAGGAGGAGGAGGAGGAGGAGGAGGAGGAGGAGGAGGAGAAAGGACAAAGGACAAAGGACAAAGACGGTCGGGAACGACTCCGAGCAAGCCAAGCCAGAAGATTAGCCTGTAGAGCATCTAAGTTCCCCCGTGGTGCTAGAATCAGAGGCCTCATTAGAGGGCCTGCTCAGGAGGACCTAGATGGCCTAAGGGCTAGGCGATCTAGGGCTCCACCAGCAGGGGCGTTCCCCTGTCTGGCACCAGTGGTTCGGAGCCAATGGGCAGGCAGCGGCGTGCCCACGGCTCAGAGGGAGACGACGACACGGACGACCTCACGACGACGACGAGAGGGAGGGAAATAAGTAGCAAAAGGCGCGGGGCGGCCTTGGTGAACTCCTTCTTCACCCGACCTGAAGTTTCCAATGCGCTCTAAATTTAAGGTTTTGGCGTTTGCAATATTTAAGCTTAAATCTAATTTCTTACACATAACTGTTGCTTAACATTTAAGGTCGTGAAATCTTCAATTTAACGCTAAATTTAAAGATATATTTACGGTTGCGAGCGCAACTATTTTGCGACAGTGGAGGTCGTTCCATTCTGGCCGCAACATGCCATGCAGCGCGTGCGCAAGAAATGTGGGGTCGGTTGCAACGACGTATGAGTGATGGGAAGGACGGCCTTGCACTGTCCCTGCGTGCGCAGCCGCAGCGGAGTTCCGCGGTGCGGAGTGCATATGTCATGCTCCTGTCATTTCATCGTCGCCAGACGTCCCACGACCCACCCGCACGCCCGCGACCCACGCGCGACCCGCTCGCGACCCGCCCGCCGCCCACCCGCCACCCGCTCGCCACCCGCCCGCAACCCTCCTACGACCCGCCCGCGACCCTCTGGCCACATCCCCGCGACCCGCGTACGATGCGATGCGCCGCGCGCGGCCGAACGGATTTGTTATTCCTCTCACAGATATTGGCGCGTGGTTTTCGCGAGTATGAAAATGAAGTGAGTGGGAAGGGAACCGAACCCGAGGACAATGCATGCGAACCAGCGGAACTGCTTGGCAGTCGGCGGTGAAAACGATTTTCCGATCAGGGCCACCATGTCCGTCTCCCCCTGACGACGGGCATGATAGTCTTGCCCTACGCGCAGCTCGAATCTAGAAGTCCTTTGCTCAACCCCGCCCTGGGCGAAAAGATAACCCCATGGCCCAGATCGCCCCTAACATGCCCTTCGAAACGATCCCGAGATGGTCCCATGACGACCCCATGACCCCACATATGACCCCACGCCGAGCGCAAGGTTTCAAGGCAACCCCAATGCCATCTCAAGATCACACACCACGACCCTAGCAAGACCCGGAGACTACCAGAGGACGACCCACAGACGATCCCACGACGACCCCTAAATGGCCCGATGGCCCCATATATGGCCCCGAAGTCTTAAGATGACCGGAAATCGACCGCGAGAAGAGCCAGAAACAACGCCTTTTGGCGGCATTTGTGTGCACGCATGGTTTCCCCTAGAGCGCTCCTGTGGTGCAGTGGGCAGACAGGTGGCTCGAAAAACTTGCTAGGCAAGCTTCGTCCAGGAAGCGATCCTAGTTCTGCATGCCTGCTTTTGCTGCTTCCCTGTTCTCCCCCTTCGTCCTAGCTTTCCCTCCTTGCGGCGAGAAGGAGGAGGAGGAGGAGGAGGAGGAGGAGGAGGAGGAGGAGGAGGAGGAGGCAGAGGGTAGCGTCGTCGCTCCCGCCGCTGCCGCTCCCGTCGTCTCTTCCCCTGCCTTCGCCGCCGTTTCTGCCACTACCGCCGCTGCCAGGGCTGTAATTAGGTGCGTCGGCCGCTGTTGCCGCTGTTGCCGTTGCGTTTGCTCCTGCTCTTGCTCCTGCTTCTGCTCCTGTTGTTGCTTCTGCTGCTGGGCTTTCGCTCTTCCGTTTTGTCCCCCTGTCCCTCCCTCTCCTCTTGCGCTCCCCCTCCTTTCCCCCATCCAGCCCTCCCCCCTCCCCTTCTCCCCCTGCTGCTGCTGCGGGCCCGTTTCCCTTCCTCGCTCCCTCCGGTACCGAGGTCGGTCCGTTTCCCTTCCTTTTCCTCCCCCCCCCTCCTCCCTCCCCTCCTCCCGGGGTGGCGCAGGGCAGAGGCCGCGCCGTCCCCGCCATCCCCGTCGTGGTACGCCTCTTCCAGACGAGCCTGGAGGCGGGGCCGCGGCCCGGCCAGGGACGGGCAGAGGGGGGAGAAAAAATGCGGGGGGGAGGAAAGGGGAGGAGAGGGGGGGACGGGGGGAGAGGAGGGGAAGGGGCAAACGAGCGAGAGAAGAGGGGGGAGGAAAGCAACGATGGGGGAGGCGAAGCGAGGCAAAACGAGGGTGCGGAAAAGGAACAACGATATAAGAAACATATGGAACTCGCAATTTTCGCGCGATCGTGTAAATGCACGCGGTAACATTCGAAACACTTGCAGAACATTGGACAAACCCACTTGCGGGTCTGTCCAACATCAGCTTGGCAGGCCAAGGGATGATACGCACTAGGGTTAATTCGTATCCTTCGCCATCTGGCTTCACTCGTCCCCTCGTCCTCTGCCTCGCCTCCTCCTCCTCCTCCTCTCCTCCTCCTCAGAATTTCTTTGACCGGTTTAGCGGTGCAAATTTAAGTGCTTCGCCCTGGCTAGCCCCGCGGTGCAAATTTAAGTGCTTCGCCTTGCCGTTTTGAAGGCTGCTTCAATGGAGGTGCAGTTTTTCGGTGCCCCAAAAACCGAAACACTTGCATAACGTCCCGCAACCATATTGCAAGGACAAGAGGGGAGACCAGACAAGCACGGAAGGAGGCTCATAACCACCTGAAAAGAGAAACCTGGTAACAACGATTTTCTCGCATATCGTTCCGCACCGAGACGTTATTTGCTGGCCCCAGGGCCCGAACAGCGATGAAAACAACATAGGATCGTTCAGACGCGCGGTTTGGCACGGACCGCATCCAACGAAAGCGATGAAGAAATGCTGCCGAGAAATAAAAACATAATTGCATGTCAGAGGGAAAGGCGGGAGGGGAGAGCGGGAGGAGACCACGGGTGGGGGAAGATGGGGGTGGAGCATCATTGGCGGCAGCTGCAAAAGCAGAAGGGTCAGCAGCAGTAGGGGTGATGGGGGAGGGGGGAGGAGGAGGAGGAGGAGGAGGAGGAGGAGGAGGAGGAGGAGGAGGAGGAGGAGCAATGGTTTGATTAGTTTGCCTGCGAAGATACAGATGTCTCGATTTTTTGCTCCAGCTTAATAGAGGGAGTCTCAATCGAGACGGGCAAAACTAGCAGCGGGTATCGTGCCCAAGCAGCGGGCATTAATTAGAGCGCCAGGTATTTAGTAACAGAACCTGAACTCGTCCATACAGCGCCGAGCTTTTTCTTGGCCTCCTACCTTAAACTTGAGCGTTTGGGAGATTTGGACCGCCACAGTACGAAGGCCGATCTCGCCGTAGCCGTACTTCTTCATGGTTTTCTTCACTGCCGATATTTGTTTCGACGTCAGGTTGCCCGCTTTCTCCAATGTAGATTTTCTCCCCGATACCTTCGCGCCCCCGGTCGTCGTGATCTGCTTTGGGGACGCAGCTGTTCGGATGCTCGCACGACCGGGGGGGCCACAGCTGCTCGGATGCTTGCCTCGGTGCTCCCACGGGGGGAGAAGTAGCTGTGCGTGATGGGAACAAAGCTCACAGGGGGAGCCAGCGCCGCCACCGCCTCCGCCACCGCCTCCGCCACCGCCTCCG